ATGTCCACGATATTTTCTTTAATATCTAATCTGCTGTTAATCCTATCTAATGTATTTTTATTTCAGATATTATAGCTGTCATTTCTAGATGTTTGACTTGGTCTGTTTTATCTTTTATGTCTATACTTAATTCAGTCTTCTAGTATTTGAATGTATGAAATAGTTTAACTATAAATCATGCAATTGTATGGTTTGATATTATGTATTATGCATTGAATTATAATGTCTAATGTCTTTGAGTACTAATTCTGTCATCTCTGCCATTTGATTTATTTCCATTGATTTTTCTCTTTATTGTGGCTCCTATTTTGCAGCTTTTTGGAATATTATTATTAGTAGTAATAGTAGTAGTAGTATTTTTGGTATGGGGATTGAACTTGGGACCTTGCGCTTACAAAGCAAGTGGTGGAACCATTGAGCTAAATCCCCAGCCCCTTTAATATTATTTTTTATTAAATTCCAGATATAAATTTTACCTTTTAGGGTGCTTGGATATTTTTGTGTTACTATACCTATTTGTGAGTACTGATTTCTTTTTTCTGGTATTGGGGATCGAACTCAGAACCTTGCACTTGCCAGACAGGCACAGTGCCCCTGAGCTACATCCCTGGCCCTGAGTATTGGTTTTTAACACGGTGAAATTACTTGGAAGTTATTTTGGTCCTTTCTGGTATTGCTTTTAACTTGTTACAAGAGTAGTGTTTAGATAATTCTTTTATGCTACAGACAGAAAACCTTTTAGTACCCTTTGCTGTGTAAGTGATGTGGCTTTCCATTCTGGCTGATTGGGACATTCCATTTTCAGCTTTGGTGAGGTTTGGGGATTGTTTCTTTTAATCCTTTTTGGCTGGTTTTTGCTTTTGTTTGGTTTTGGCCTCAAGTGGTTTGGTAACCCACTAAACATGACCAATACCCACTTGAAAACTTGGTTTAATCCTTGCAAATCTTAATTTTTTAATTAATTTTTGGGTGTGCTGGGGATAGAATCGAGGGCCTCACACATGGTAGACCTGCACTCTACCATTCAGATATGCCTGTAGCTCAGATTTTAATTTTTACCTTATTTATTTATTTATTAATACCAGGGATTGAACTCAGGTCTTTGCACTTGCAAGGAAGGCGGTGGAACCACTGAGCTAAATCCCTGGCCCGGATTTTAATTTTTAAAAATAAAAAGGAGGGCCAGGCGTGGTGGTGCAAACCTATAATCCCCAGCACTTGGGAAGCTGAGACAGGAGGATCACTGTGAGTTCAGGACCAGCCTGGGCTACATAGTGAGTTCCAGATCAGTCTCAACTACATAGTGAGACCCTGTCCCAAAAAACAAAACACAAAATAAATAAATAAATAAAACAAACAAACAAATAAATAAATAAAAGGAGGTATCTAAGTCCTTAACAGCAGAGTTTATTTCCTATGAATTACAGTATGTAGAATTCAAGTTGAAGTCTTTTTTAATAGAATGATTGTTCTGATTGCTCTCAAATCATAACAGTTTACACCTTTCATTTCTCATTCTTTTTTTTTTTTTCCTGGTACTGGAGATCGAACTCAGGACCTTGTGCTTGCAAGGCAGGCAGCGGAACTACTGAGCTAAATCCTGGGCCCACATTTCTCATTCTTAATGTCTTGTTGTTGAAGCCATCAGTTGTTTTTTTGTTTTTGTTTATTTTTTGAGACAAGGTCTTGCTTTGTAGTTCAGGCTGGCTTTCACTCACTAGGTAGCCCACGTTGGCCTCGAATTCGCAGTGATCATTCTGCCTCAGTCTCCAGAGTGCTGGAATTACAGGTGTGCACTGCCATGCCTGGCTCATTTCTCTTTCTTATTTATATTTATGTAAGATATAGTCATGATTCAAAATAGTACATTATTAAGGTTCACATGTAATTACTTTCAAATATTGTGGGGTTTTTTTGTTTAATTTGTCTTGGTTTCTTTATAAAAAACATCAGAAGTTAAAATTGTCCTTATATACCTATTATAGTATATATATGTAGATATTAGAGGGTAGTATCCACAGTGTATGTATGTAAGTATAGACTATCAGATATACTATATCTGTTGTTACAAAATCTAGCAAGTAATTGCTCAAATTAATTTTATACTTTAATGAAATTTTAATTAGAACTCTTTTTAGGTGTCAGTGCTTTCATTCTGTAACCTGTGTTTGAAAATCTGGATTACTCAGATATTACAAGCCTAAGTCATTTATCCTAAAGAATGGGAAACTGCGGCCGTCAAGTACATTGTGTATGGATGTTCGCAGCAGCACTATTTCCAGTAGTGAAAGGGTGGATTATAGCCAAATATCCATCAGTGGAGGAATGCATGAAACAAATTGTGTTATATGTACAGTGGAATATTCAGCCATAAAAAATAAAAGGGATATGTGGTACAGTGTGAATGAACCTCAGAAATGTGTAGTGAAAGTGTCACAAAGTATATGACTGAGTTTATAGGATCTGTCCGAAGTAGTTAAATCCATAGAAATAAAGCTGAGGTTGGTAGTTGCCGAGAGTTGAGAGAGAAACTGCTTAATGGGTAAAGGTTTATACTTGAGAGTGATGGAGCCATTTTGAAACTGTATAGCATCGGAGAGGCTGTACATTATGAATAAACTGCTGTGTTCATTTTAAAGTCATTGATACTCTTATGTCAACTTCACTTTAGTAAACAATTATTTTTTAAATATAAGCTTGGTTTATTTTAAAATTAACTTAACATTGAACAGTATTGACATTTTCCAAATGGGAAATATATTATATACTAGATGTTTTTACCAGAATTGGTACTTCGAAAAAATTTTTTTTAGTTTTATTTTCTCATTTTTGAAGTTAGTGACAAGTCTCATTGAGAGCTGAGAGTTAAATACAGTAGCTAGTATTACAGAAATACTGCCAACTGCATAAGTTTGTCAACTCCAAGGGTGTGGAATGGCCAACTGCTGACTCCAGGGAGTAGGGAGAGATACCAGGAGTTTGTAGATTTTCTTAAATCACCTACCCCGAGACCCATCAATGACTCCTCACCCCAGATTCAGTGCAGGAGTCCTGAGGGAAAACTCCATAGGGACAGGCAAAAGGCACAAGTTTGAGGATGACCCTGTACCACCACAGAACAGAAAATGAGAACAAAACTTCAGAACTACTCACTCTTGGCTACCGTGGCCCGCTTTCCACAGCCTGATCATCTCAGTGTTTATGTTAACAGATTTAATTAAGTGGAATAATTTGCACTTGGTGTTGGGGGATAATGTGGGGAAACATCAGCTAATATATACTTATTTTTTTGCAGAAGGACTACTTTTTCTGAGGTTTATGTTATCTATATAGGAAGTACTGCTTTGAATTCCCAACTTCCCATCTATACTCCTTTGTACTGAGAGGAAAGACAAGAGGAAGGGTAAAAAGTAGGAAGAAAAAAAGGTGCTGACAGGAAAGAGTTCCCAGCCTTTCTTCAATAAAATTTTAACAAATCACAGGGCTGAGAATGCAGTGTTTTTGTAGAGCACCTAACATGTAGGAAACCCTGAGTTTGACCCAGCACATTAAAAAAAAAAATGGTTTACAGGTGCAAATTTAAAAAACAAAAGTGAAACCTAAGAAGAGCCTAGTTGTCAAGAGTACTTTAAGAGTGAAGACATTCACCTCCCCACCCATTCTAGGTGTTTATCTCAGTGAGATGAAAAGTTTTATTTCTTCTAATCCTTAATCTTTAGTTTTAGCTGAAAAATAGTTTACAGAAAAATATAAAAACATAACTAGAAATTAAGTATTCATTACTTACATTTATGCCATCAAGTTTAGTGTGTTAATTAGATTTTAAAATTTTGCTTACTTTGTCCATTTTTATAGCATACATTAATTTAATAATCTACGACATCAGTCCCTTTTCTAGAACATAGGATTAAAATTAATGATTGCTGGGGACTTGGAATGTAGCTCAGTGGCACCATGTTTGCCTCGCAAGTGCAAGGTCCTGAGTTTGATCTCCAGTAACAGAAGAAAAAAAAATTAATGATTACTGGTAGACACGCTAAATAATTTGGAAGTAATAGGTATGATCTTTCTGCATAGAATTTACCATATGAAATTATTTCATAGTTTTAGCTGGGCGTGGTTGCCCACACCCATAATCCTAGCATTTGGGAGGCTGAGTCAAGAGAATCACTTGAAGTTTGAGGCCAGCCTAGGCTGTATAGTAAGTTCAAGGCCAACCTGAACTACAAAGTGAGACCCTGTTGCAGAAAACCACAAAACCCCACCAAAAACAAACTCACAGTTTAGAAGTATATTTTTTAGTATTTAACATATTTAATATATTAATCAGTATATTTTAATAATTATTACTTATTCTATTTATTAGTTTTTTGACAAGCTAAAATTTTTCTGATGTTAAGACAATCAGATATTAGTACTGAAAGGGGGGGGGATCCGTGTGTCCTTTGGGGTGCCCCTTCCCAATTAGGCCACTCATGCACCGAGAGGTCCCGCAGGAGATCTTTATTGTAGGGAGGCGAGCAGGAGGCGGGAAGGCAGAGAGAGAGAGAGAGAGAGAGAGGAGGAAGAAGAAGAAGCAGGAGAGAGAACAAAGAAAGGAAGGTCCTTTTATCAGTTTGGGGATGGGCTATTGCTTATTTATGAGGAATGAGTTACTTTTAACCTATCACAGGCCAGATTGCCTTTATGGGCCCAGTCCTGCAGACACAGGTTTCAACTTTCCTGGACCAGTGTGGCCTTGTGGGGGAGGGAAACCAGAGATAAGGGCATGAGGTCATTTTAGGAGCCAAGATGTACCAGGAGAATGCAGCCTGTGAGGCGGCGTCACAGCATACTTTCACATAATCAATTCCATAACATTCCCCACTCTTTGATTTTGGATGATAATTGGCAGCCAACATATCCATGGGCAGACGGAAATGGGGCGGAGTGTCTGTTCCCTAACATTTACACTGATGCCAGTCTTAACACTACTAAATTGCTGACTTTTTTTTTTCTAGAATTCAGCATACAGTTAAAATGACAACCTCCTGGAGTGATCGATTACAGAATGCAGCAGATATGCCTGCTAATATGGATAAACATGCCCTAAAAAAGTATCGACGAGAAGCCTATCATCGGTAAGCATTTAGTCTTTTTAATGTGCAGAATCCCTTTCTGTTGTAGGGACTTATCCTCATTCTACAAGTGATGGAATTAATGTCCAGAAAAGTTAAATAATTTGCATCAGTTCATATAGTTAGTGTGCAATCAAAGTCTGACTTTTAACTACTAGTACAGTATATAATACTGCTTCAGAATGGTGTTTTGGGGTACTAGAGATTTAGCTTCGGGCCTCATGTAGGCTAGGTAAGCGCTGTACCAACGAGCTACATATATACCCAGCCTCTGTGCTTCCCATACCTCCTAATATAAATCCTTCAGAGAAGAAAGCCTTCAACTGCTAGGAAATTGTACCAATATTGGAATGAAGTTTTCTTTTTCTTATGTGGGTGGGGCTCTCCGTGTTGCCCTGTCTGGCCTTAAACTCCCTGGTTTAACAAATTCTTGTTTTTTGGTGCTGGGGATGGAACTTGGGTCCTTGCGCTTGCGAGGCAGGCAGCAGAAGCACTGAGCTAAATCCCCAGCACCGAGAATGAAGAAAAAAAAAATTTTTTTTTTTTTGGTTTGTTTTTTTTGAGACAGGGTCTCACTATGTAGTTGAGACTGACCTGGAACTCACTATGTAGCTCAGGCTGGTCTCAAACTCACAGCAATCCTCAATCCTCCCACCTCAGCCTCGCGAGTGCTGGGATTACAGGCATGCGCCACCATGCCTGGCCCGGGAATGAAATTCTTAATTGACAGTTATCATAAACTGATTATAATTTTTAAACAAGTTTTTAAAATTGTTTCTTCTCCATAATGTGTGTTAGATTGAGTATGACTGTAGTTATTAACAAAGTTTTCTTGTTTTGGTTTTAATTTTATTATGTGTTTATTTTGTTTATTTAATTATTTTTTGAGACAGTCCTGCTATATACCTCAAGTTTGCCTTAAACTGTGTACCTTAGGTTGGTCTTGAACTTACTGCAATCCTCCTGTCTCAGCCTTCTGAATGCTGAGATTACAGGTGTGCACCACCACACCTAGCTCTCTTGTTTTGATTTTCAGATTTATCTAAATAATTTTTCCCTTTAAAGTTTAAATTGTAATTTTTTTTTAGTAATCTTTTTTTTTTGATACTGGGGATCAAACTCAGGACCTTGGGCTTGTGAGGCAGGCTGTGGAACCACTGAGCTAAATCCCCAGTCCCTGTAATTTTTTTTATAGATTCAAATTTAATGTCTGCTGCTGCATGAAGTAGCTAAGATACTTGAAAGGAAGTCATACATTTAGAAAGCATTCATTTTTAGACAATAATTAGAAGTTTGAAATTTTAGTGAATTTATAGGATAGAAAGATAGGAGCCATACTAGATCCTTCTCTGCTTCTCATTCCAGGGATACCAGGAATAAGTGGAAATGCTAGTATGTTAGCAGTACTAAAATAATTCCTGACTCTAGGAAATCTAAGTCTAAGACAACTTACAACTGCTTAACTCTTTCTAGGGTAGAGAAAAAGGAAATTAATATTACTTTTAAAATTTTACTGGAAAAGATTATACAGGTAAGTTTTTATAAGCAGATACAAAAATAATAATTCTGATTCCACTTTTGTATAGAAAAAAGTTGGATCAGAATTAGGTTTTTTTTGGTACTGGGGATCGAATTTGGGTCCTTGCGTTTATGAGGCAGGCGGCAGAACCACTGAGCTAAATCCCCAGCCCTTGGTAATGTTTTTAAAAGGGGAGAAAAAAGTATTAGGTAACATTTTATTGTTTCAGTATTAATTTTTGAAGAAAGTAATTTGGTATTGAGTGAAAGTTTATAAATGGTTGGTTTTAAAGTAGTCTGAAATGACGCTAACTTCATGGTAGGTCACTCTAGTATTTCTGGGTGTTAGGTTATTGTTATTCCTTAAATCCTGAAAAGGTGAAAACATTTCTGGATCCAATGAAGCCTCCAAATTGATCAATGTGGTATTGGTGATTGTTTTCTTCGTGTGAGACATATTGGTATGTGGCATAGGAATTAAAGTGTAAAATATAGTTTATGTGTACCTGTGTAAATAAAGTACAACATGCACTAGTTATTTAGAAATATTCTACATTTTCTGTCCAGTTTGCTTAGTTTCATGTTTTAAAGTATACATTTGGTTAGGACGTGTCATTTGTAACATTAGAAACAAGAGCCTGAATTACCCAATGGAGAGAGATCACCTAGTAAACATTAGGTTTCTAGAAAACATCATCTAGTAAACATCCTAATTATGTTTAATATGTCATAGCTTGGATGCATTTGTTACTCACTTGGAATGATATTTCCTGGAAGATTTTAGACAGGCCATGTACTGCACATTCTTCATGTAGGAGAGGTCAATCTGAACTGATAGGAATGATAGAAGAAGTATCAAGGGTTTAAATTTTTAGGTCATTTCAAAATGTTTTTTAATATAAAAAATGGGATTGTTGTATTCATGTAAACATTTTTTCTTTATACACACACACATATATATATGTATGTGTGTGTGTATATATATACGTGTGTGTGTGTATATATATAAATATACGTGTGTGTGTGTGTGTGTGTGTGTTTTGGTACCAGGGATTGAACTTGGGTCCTTGTGCTTGTGAGGCTGGCAGCGGCACCACTGAGCTAAATTTAGCTTAGTCATTCTGCTACCTGCCTTGCAAGTGCAAAGATCCAAGTTCGATCCCTGGTACTAAAAAAAAAAAAAAACAAAAAAAAACACATACGCACACATACTTTGGATTGGCTAAATAAAGCTAATAGGCAGTCATACCATTTTTGTGGTAGGAACACTTAAAATCTGCTTCAGTAAATAAGGTAGATAATACGTTGTTATTAAGTGTAGTCACCCTGTTTACAATAGATTTCTTGAATTTATTCCTCTAACAGCAACACCCCATCCCCGCCCTCTTGAAGACTGGGTTTGACTAAGGGCCTTTGCACTGAGCCACATCCCTAGCCCTTTTTTTGATCTTTTTATTTTGAGACAGGGTTTCATTAAGTTGCCTAGGCTGGCCTTGAACTTGTTGAGCCTCCTGCCTCTGTCTTCCTTGGTGCTTAGATTACAGGTGTGTGCTATTGCACTTGACTGTTATTTGCTTTTGTTAACTAGTTTATTTTTATTTTTGTTTTCATTGAGTTTATTGGTACTTTTTAGGTATACAATACAGTTACATTCAGCATTGGGATCTTGTACCTTTACATGACAGATCTTGGTTCTCAGTTTTTCTCCAGACCCCTGCCCTCCCTTCACCCTTTATCTAAACAGTTTAAACAGAAGCCATTGAGAAAAAATTTAGTTTTCTAGTTAAGTCAATTTGTATTGTTTCCAAGCCTTTTTATTAGACAGTTGAGTTGATAATTTCTCATTGGCTTAATTAGGCTGTGATGATCATTATCTTAAATTGTACATTGTATGTGATAATTTAGAATTTTTTTTAGAAGATGCTAAATATTCTAAGTAAATGCACAATAAACTTCTAGACTTTTTCTTTTTTTGTGTTCAACATTATATGTTTTGTTAGTACATATACATGTCACACCTTAGTCCTTTTTCTTTCCGTTCCTCTCCTTCTCTCTCTCCATGCCTAGATCTCCTTATCTGCAAAAGATCTACCTTCCTGTTCCTATCATCTTTTATTTTGTTTTAAAAATTATTTATACTTTGGGTTTCTCATAGAAGAGAAACCATGCAATATTTAACTATTTCTGATTTATTTTACTTAGCATTATTGTCTCAGGTGCATTCATTTTCTCACAAAGGACTCACATTCATCCTTTTTTATGGCAGAGTAGTACTCCAATGTGTGTATATACCACATTTTCTTTACCTATTCATCTGTTGATGAACATAAAGGCCATTTCCAAGGTTTAGTTATTGTGAGTTGTCCTTTTACAAACATGGGTATACAGGTATCACTATGATATATGGGTATAATGTCTTAAGAACTTCCATGGCTAGGCATGCTGGTGCACGCCTGTAATCCTAGCACTCAGAAGTCTGAGGCAGGAGAATCACCATACATTCAAGGCCAGCCTGGGCCTCATAGTGAGTTCAAGGGCAGTCTGAACTACATAGGAAGATCTTGTCTCAAACAGCAACAAAATGATTAGTCTTCTGAATTTCAATATGGAAATAATGGTGATGTGTCATCCTTAAGAAACTCACCTTGCAAATACATACATGACTGTTGTTCCTTCTTCATTTCCTTGTTCAGTAATCACCAGGCCACACCCTTTATTGGAATATGTTTTGCTATATAGTCAGAAGATAGTCTGAGCTGCTTAGATGTTACAGTGACTTGAAGGAGGCAAGTTAGAAAGTTGAGTAGTTCCTTGAACACTGAGAAGCTCGTAGTGATCAGTACAGATCAGAATTCATATTTACCAAATCCAAGAATGGAACAGTTAGATTTTTCATCAGCTCTCCACATTGTCTGTGTCCAGGATGCAGAAACCAGGTATTTATTTTTCTTTTTAAAGTTTTATTTATTTATTTATTTGGTTTTTTGAGACAGGGCTTCTCTATGTAGTTGAGATTGACCTGGAACTCACTATGTAGCCCAGGCTGGTCTGGAACTCACAGTGATCCTCCTGCCTCAGCCTCCCGAGTGCTGGGATTACAGGCGTGTGCCACCATGTCTGGCTTCTCTTTTTAAAGTTTTGATGATTACAGCTCAGCAAACTTTTTGTAAGATAGTAAATTGACTTTATGAACATTGTTTATGAATTCAGTGTTTTTTATCATGTTGAACTGAAAATTCATAAGTAATTAGGCTTGGGAGTTTTTTGCTAGCCAGTCTTTTACCTTATCTATCTATCTTCTTATCTATCTATCTATCTATCTATCTATCTATCTATCTATCTGGTACTGGAGATCATACTTGGGTCCTTGCACTTGCAAGGCAGGCAGCGGAACTACTGAGCTAAATCCCCGGCTCCTTTTATATTATTTTTAAAGTTAATGGAACCAGGGATTTAGCTCAGTGGTTTCGCCACCTGCCTTACAA